TAATTAGCACTCTGAAATGTGAAATGCTTAAATGCATGATTATTTGTATTATTCACATTTTTGCTCCTCCAGTAGTCTTCATGAAAGAAATTTTACTGTCATCACCAGCTGCCATGAAATAGGATTTACTGAACGTGTTTCTGGGTTCACAGAGCTAAACCATTCCTTTAATTCATATAAAATAAGCCATACTATTTGGTATAAACTCTATTCATTATTTAAATATCATTAGATTGTATGAGAAAGAGGAAATAATTTCAAGGCACAATTTAGATAGCTTGTTAGAGTTATGAAGTGCTGTTGATGATACATTAAAGAAAGGTAATTAAAGGAATTGGGGAAGTACTAGATATGAACGTTCAAATTCTCTATACAGTAAACTCATTTTGTGCTATAATAAACTTTGTCATTGCAAATGAAATGTACCACCTGGCTTAATTATGTAATATAGATGCTATTTACCTATATGCTATATGTGTCTGTCTCTTACTAGAGTAAATCAAAGAGTGAGAGAACAAGAGTATATTCGGAGGGAACCCTGGTCAGAACAGCTATGGGCGGGGTCTTCCTCACTGTAGTCACAGCTGTAAGGTTATTTCTGAAATAGAAATCAGGGTTATTTGGGAGAGCACTGAACAAATTGGGAACTTGCCCTGGATCGACTTTTAAGCAATTCCTGTGACTCCGGGACGCTCCTACATAGATAACCTCAGACCTTAGAACAGCATGCGCAGAAGGTGAAGATGATAAATCACTGCAGGATCAGGTTGATGGAGACAATAGGTGGGAGAGGTGCCAACACCAGAAGTCTTCAAGAACAGGTTAGATGATAGAGGTCAGGTGCCTGTCTTGAGACAGGCGATGCTCTGGGTTACCCCTCAGGATCCCATTGGCCTCTTCTGATGCAGCCATGTGTTTTCATGGCAGCAGAATGACACGCAGGCATGGAAACAGCCTGAATTTTCAGGAAAATGATCACAGATTAACAATGTGTGCTTTTGGAAAAGTGTTTTTTTCTACATTTTACCCAAGTGTAAACTGGCAGTTTTACATTTTAATAACAGAATAAAAGTTCTGGAGTCTTGATAGAGTAGAGCTTGCAGTTACAATATTAGATAGGTTCTTCAAAACTGCTGGGAGCATCATAGAGCACGTGCTGGTACTGCTGATGGTATTTTAAATTCCACAGACATAAAAAAAAAATATCTGAAAGTCTCTACTTGCCTGAATGAGGCTGCTGTGGCTACCTGTACATAAAGCCAGTTTGAAGTCAACATTTTTGGCCTCTCTGGGTGGTGGAGGTCAGTTCCAGGCAGACTGGTGGCAAGCAGACTGAGCAGAGAGAGAAGTGCACTGCTGGGCAAGGCACCTCATGACACCCATCTCCATCAATCCTCAAAGTCTCTTGGATACAAGCAGGGATTCCTTGTGTGGGGTGAGGATTAGCCCATAGGAAGCAGCAGGGGAGCTGGGTTTTAAGCTTCAGGGGGAAGAAAGTGCAGCAGGAGGTGAGACAAAAGAAGATGAAGGCACACTAGTTCTGAATGTACACGAGGCCTGGCATGAAACCAAGAACTGCTGTAGCTAGCCGATACCGTAAGCTGCTGTTGGTATTTGTGGGTGGAACCACCACTGACGATGAGTGAGTTTGGGATCCTCTGTATAGTTTCAGTATCTGTTGTTGACGAGCCCATCTAACTATAAAACAATCTAATGTACAAAAATAATATAATGTCTAAAAGGGAGTATTCCAGATGTTCAACAGGATTGACAAGACTGATGGAATCCTAACTTTTAAGCTGCACAAGTGATGCAGTTTTTACAATGGTATTAAAGAGAGGTTCGCATTGAATCCACTTTTTTTCTTGAAGAGGCTTTCTGACATGAACTATACCACGTGAAATTTGAAGTTCACGCTCACAGATAGAATGGGATTTTCTCCTTTTGCTGCTGATGCTATTTAGAGGTCACTTTCTGAGACTAGGTTATCAGAGCCTCAGCAGAGAAGAGCACAGAAAACAGCTTGATCCTGGCTTGTGTGGAAGGAATTTGTAAAGTCTCCCTTCCATTCCACTGAGGCTGAATTAAACCTTTCCTATTAAACAAAATTGATTTTTAGAACATAACAACTATTAGCAGCCCTGACAGTCTCAAGGATTTCTCTAACCTTTCTTCACTTTTAATGCCTGTGAGGGAATAGTCTCTCGGGAAAGAAAAATCCATGCTTATCTCCAAATTTGCTTGCATCTTGCTGTGAAATGTCTGTTACCAAAGGGTTCTGGAGACAGCACATCGGACCAAATAGACCCAGGGAAGGTTCTGTCAACCCATGAGCTCCCGCTCTTAACCGAAGTTAAGAGAAGTCACACTAGATTTGTCACAAGCCCTTCCTTGATCCCCGTGGGAGAAGAGTGTTGCTGGTGTTGAAGCCTGCTCCATAAACGCAAACTTAAGGGCTGTGGGCAGATCCTTGTCACACAGAACAAGGATACTCCAGGACAACCCAGACGTCAAAATAATACAGAGAGAAGATAACACAGCCGCTGAATTATTTTTTCATGTTGCATTATGCATTATTTTAAAGGGTTGGGTTGGCTGGTTGGTTTGTTTGTTTGTTTTGGTGTGGGGTTTGTTTCGTGCGTTTCCTAGCAGAACTAAGAAAGTAACGCCCATGTTGAGACCGCGCAGATGAGAAGGACCTCCGCCTCGGGCGGTGGGGTTTGGTCAGGGTCCAGGTCTCCAGGGTGGGCACCGCTCTGCCGGTTTCTCTTCCTCTGCCGCACCCACCTACCCCCATTCCCCTGCCGGGGTCGGGGTCGGGGGGGCGTGGAGGGGGTGACTTCCGAGGCTGGGAAAAACCTAAAAACCTCCAGTGCCCTTTTCGAGCTCCAACCGTTCCATCGCGGGAGAGAGAGGAAGAGAAAAAAAATAAATATAAATAAATAATTAAGAATTAAGGAAAAAACCCTTATCCTTTTCGGGAAAGGAAGCGTGTCGTTTCTAAAAAGAAGCGGTACTGCGCGGGCAGTCCTTCACTCAAACTTTCTGACGCCCCGCCGGCGCCCGCGGTACAACGCGCTGCGGGGGGAGACGGGCACCCCCTCCCCGCACCCGGCGGGGGCTGCCATACCGGGGGGGGGACGGGGA